TTTTTTGTTTTCTTGTCTTCATTCTTGCTCAATGGATGGTGCATAGTATCATAAAATGTTTCAAATTAATGTTATAATTTTTTAATTACTGATTAGACTTTATTGATACTAGTAATTATGCACATAATTTTTTATTAATTAAGAACTATATAAAAGTCTTAGAGAGTCCTAAAAAGTCCACATTGAAATCTAAAATTTTGATCCCTTGCCCACGGTGGGCAGTGCCCACCACTTTATTTTATATGAAAAACGTATTCTGAGAATACGTTTTTCAATTAAATTAATTGAAAAACGTATTCTCAGAATACATTTTTCATGTAAAATAAAGTGGTGGGCACTGCCCACCGTGGACAGGTGAGCGGGACTATTGAAATCTATGTATCTATATATAATTGTTGGTTAATCCATTAGTTTTATTAATAAAACCTCATTTCGATTTCCCGTAAAAAAGTTAATTGCTATTTAATTAATTTTCTTATGCATTGAATAGTGATCATTAAGTGAGATATGACAATTACAACCAATTTCAAATATTTTGTTTCCCCCTTTTTCTCAGGTAATTAATTAGTTACCCCATTTACCAATAAATTTTTTATTTTTATTAAGCATAAACTTGATTAGTTAACATATTTACACAAGAAAATAAATAAGTTGCTAGAAAATTTCACTTGAAAAATCATTTTCGTTTTTTTTTAAATTGCTCCATAAATCAATAAATTAAGACATGCTCAATAAAGTGAATAAATACAACACATATGCGACGTTTCAAAAACATTATAAATAATTACAAAAAATAAATTAATTGACCACTCCTTAAGCTTTGAATTAGACCTGCAAATAAAGAAAAAATAATAAAAAATCAGCATATAATTTAACGTCAAAGAATCTATATCTATATAAAAAAAATGTTTGATAATTTTTTAAATAGCAACTTTTTCCTGCAAAAAAAAAAATTAATTACTAATTGTGGAAATATATTAGCCGCAATTTCCATATTTAATGCTTATATTTTTGGAACTTTTTAATTAATATGGAAACATATTTCTGTTTTAATTTAAGACTATTCCTTAACGAAACTAATTAGCATAAATATGAATATTTAATTTTGATAAATTAAGTGAATTATTGGGTATTTTTATTTAGAAATTATTTAATTTCTTATAGGTAATAATACAAGTCTCGCACCCTGACCAACTGGAGTTCGCCCTAAGCTTGCTCTCCTCGCCGGTTGAACGCGGAACCTGCACGAAACTCCCACACCGGAGGTGTTTTCCGGTGAAGAGCCTCCAACGCTCAAGTCAGATCTTGAGAGATAATATGAGTGTATGAAAAAGTACCAGAATGTATTAGATCTTACTGAAAATGAGGATTTTCGCCCTTATTTATAAGGGCGAGTTACCTGAGCTGCACGCGCGAGCAAGGCGAGTCCGACCAACTGTCTCCTGCTCGTCCGTACGGCCGCGAGCCTCCACTATCTTTAGTGTCAGGAGCCGCATCCTCTTTGTCAGAGAATGTCAGAGTTTGTTGCAGCTACGTAGCCACTCACAGTGCGCCACGCGTCCTTCCTTTCACGTGCTGAAGATTCCCTCATGCCCCTCTGATATTCGACCAATCTTTTGCGACCACGCCTTATTCGACCACTCGTGGTGGTCCGCATCTGTCGACCACGTTTAATCTCTTCTGTCTGCTCTCTGTTTCTTTGTTGCTAGTGCTTGGTCCTTCTTGACCAGGCTACTCGATCTCTCCTAACTCAGGTAATCCAGCGGTCCGACCTATTTTCTCCGATCGTCCGGGCGAACCGGTCTAGTATACAATATCCCATATCATCTAGTCCCCCCACTCTGGTCGAGTCTGAATGACTCGATCTAAGAGTAAGGCTTGTCTATGTCGCCGAGATTCCACTCCACTTGTTTCGACCACCTAGTGCATTCTCCTCTCTTGTGCGTCTACTCTTTCCCCTAACCGCTATTTTGCGTCTTTTGAATTTCGAATCTTGTCACTTGTCCGCCCTTTTTGGAATGCGTCCTTTCATCTGTCAGAGGTCATGATGACCTCGTGACCCGTGTTGCCTCGAATCTCGCCCTGTTTCCGCGTACCCCCTTTTCCTGCCGTTGGATTTTCTACTTTAATCCTACGGCTCGAAACTACGCGCCCGTTCATTTGCCTTCTGATCGCAGCCCTTCACTCTTTATGATCCTGCGGTTGACAATCTCTCCTGTTTATTTTTCGTCCTTATAAATACCCACACTTAGGGAAATTTTTGCTTTTCTTCACTTTCGTATTCCATCGCATTAAGGCTTTCTGCAATTCGTGCTCCCCTGCAACTTAACGGTCCTCGATCTTCCAGCCGACAGAACATCGTTCACCATGAGTAAGTCTTCTTTAACCTTCTATTTATGTTTATCAGTCTTCTAATTTTTGCGCCCATCCTCTTCTCCTCGAATTTTTTGGTTTTACCTTTCTTTCCTCTCTCTCTTCCACCCGCGCTTTGTTCTTCCGATTTCTGTTCTCCCACTGTGCCGTATGTTCCTTCTTCTTCTTCTTCTCTTTTGCTTTCTTATTAATTGAAATTTTTTCTTTCTTTTCTTCCCCCTTTTCTCAGATTCTGCTACTCCGAGTGAAAATGATCGGCACAGTGGCAAGGACCTGACCTCTCCTTCCTCCTCCGCAACTCTCAGTTTATCGAGCGATTCAGTGCAAGAAATTCTTCAGCCTGAGCCCCTTTCTGTCCTTCCCCCTGCGACGACCAGTGATAGCCCCACAGCCACTGCTCTCTCTCCTTCTACCTATCTTGTCGACCAACCTGAGGACGAGGTCACCAGCTGCCCTTCTCCTCCCGCCGAGCGTACTCGCCGATCAACCGACCAGGGCGACGAGGTTGAAGGCGAGGATGATCTTCAAGACCATGTCCCGCTGTCTGCCCGTGTTCTTGTGTCTTCGACCAAGCCTTCTCACTCTCCTCGCCCTAAGGCGTCCAAACGGTCCAAGCCATCCAAACCTTCTTCTAGTGCTTCTCACCTCGACTTTGATGCAATTGGTCATCCCGGGGCTGCTCGTACCCCTGACGATGATGATATTTATGACAATCCTCCAGAGGGCTACTACACCTTTTTCCACGCCCACTTCGATCTAGGCCTCCGTTTCCCTATTTG